GGGGGGGGGGGGCATAATTCAGTCCATAACGTAAGTTCAGGCCCAAAGCTGCCCTTCACGCCTGGCTGGTGGCCTGGCTGGCGGCTGTTGGTAACATCTGAAGTGAGGATCGGTGCTGTGGTTGGCCTGTCTCCCACCCTCATATGTCCTGGGATCAGTGCCATTTGAAGGTCCTCTCTGACCCCAAAGACCCCTAGAGCCGGGTCTCAGGAAAAACAGCCAGACCTCCTGATAGGAGCCCAGGATGGACTCCCAAAGGCCATGGTGTGAGCCTCAGTGAGAGGGGGTCAGGAGGCTGTGGGCCCTTAGGGATCCAGGACAGCTCCGGAAACCCTGGTGTACTGCTCTTAGCTGACAGAAACTGGGTCTCAACGAGGACACCCTGGCACTACTCGGTGGACAGTGGTGTCAAGACAGGCCACCGGTGTGTGTGGATGGAAGGCCTGATGTGTCCAGCAGTATAAGTGAGCACTTTCCCTGAACCTTCGGTCAGGACACTGCAATCAGCTGCAGCAGTGGGGTGATGGTCCCCGGGTCAGGCCGCCGCCCTGGGTCCTTGGACTGTTAAGTCCAAGGCTTGAGCTGTTAAGTTGGAAGTGACTTTAGTGGGAGTGTGGACCTCTGTCCTTACAGGTGAGCAAGCAAGGCACTAACCCAGGGTCACACTGGCAGGACTGGCCCAGATCTGGGTCTTCTGATGTCCACCTGGAACCACCTGTGTGCCCTGAGCATCTGTCCCTGTCTGGTGGCCCAGAGCAAGGACAGCCGGGCTTCTCCTCTGTACCTGGAGGCCCTCCAGCCCGCCTCGCTCGTGAGAAACCTAATCCTGCTGCCTTCTCAGGGCCCCGAGCTTCCGTCTGCTCTCACCTTCCTCTTGATGGAAAAGCCCTGGGGTAGATTGTTTCCCATGACCAGGTGCTGCCTGCTCTGTGCAAACGAGGTGACCTGCCTTGGAAGAGATTGACCTCTGCTGAAAAAAGTGGCTGACTTCCAGGGAAATGGGAGTCATGAAATGGGCTTCCTGTGGCGGAACACGTCCTGAGCCAGACCGAGTTCTCAGAATCAGGGAGGCTCTCTTCATCCCCTCAGCAGACCCCCTGCAAAGGAGACGACCTCCACTCAACTGAACTCTAGTTCTCTCCAGCTCAGCCCCGCCCCTCCCCACTGTGTGTCTGTGTGCTCACTTGTGTTCCTCTGTTTGTGTGTGTCTGTGTGTCAGGGTTGAAGAAATACAGCAGGATCCCTTTGGCTTTCTCCCTCTGAGGGTCAGGGCCTGGGGCCTCCCTGGTATCCGGTGGGATGGCTCAGCCCCCCCTTCCTTTGACCCTGCTCGCTTGATTCCCTTGTCCCAGGCTGCAGAAGAACTCACTGTGGGTGCTGTCCCACTCCTCTTTGCACAGAGGGGTAATTTGGACTTTTCCTTATAAAAGGGATTTTGGGAGAAGTCCTTGCTTTGAATGCAGTGCAAGTCTGCCTGTTAGGATTGTATTTGACCTTGCGTAATGAAACCCATCTAGCCTTGGTTTCAACAGGTTTGAGCATGACTTTTCTCCTTTCAATGAGAAGAGGGGTGTGAGGACCAGAGCTGATGACTATGAGAATGTGGACACCCTAAGGTGTTCACAGGTGTCTGGGTGGTGGCTCTATGTTGGAGGCATTCCTCTCTTGATGATCCCACTGCCTTGGAGGAGACCAGACTAACTTTCTGAGCACCCCCACCCCAGCTCTGTGGGACCCTGGTGGCTTCTCTCCCTGGAACACTGACTTAAGTGGAAGCACAGTTAGCTTCCTTTAGACAAGGCTAAGGGCCAGTTGGTCAGAGTCTGCAGAATCTTGGGAGAAAGATTTGAAACCAAGATAAAGCATCCCCTCCTTTAATCATAGGATGGGTCCTTAGGAAATACCTGTTTCACCCAGCAGGCAGCTGCCCCAGCGTCACAGAGGATGGCCCTCAGCTCCACCTGACCTCAGCTGGCCAGCTGAGAGGTCACCACAGACCTCCTGCTGCTCCCCCTATTTCTTCTCTGCCACCTTCTGCCACGGTAGAGATGACCTAGACTGATGCGTGGTGCCTGCAGGTGACTTAGCTCTGACCCTTCAGTGACTGTGCAGCCTTTGGTGACTCTGCTCAACCAAGTCCGAGGGTCCTGCAGTCAAGCGTGCACAGCAGTGTTCTGTCAGCACTGAGGGGCGGTGTCTTGGCGTGCATCTTAGCCTTACCAGCAAGCTTTGCAAGCAGGCCAGGGACGTCGGCTGGCAGGAGCTTCTGGTCCACATCCGACTGGTACTGTGTCAGGAGTTCGGGACAGTAGGATCCTGTGCTGTGACCCTCTGCTTTCATGAGGCCAACTGAGAGACACTGCCCATGTGTGAAGGCCCTTCCCATCACGGGTGGGTTTAGGAGGCTGGAGGGAAAGGTCAGTGGGTTCTCCAACCATCCCCTCCCTCACATAATGCACAGCTTGCGTGGAGGCGGAGTCTTTTCTTACTGAGTAAACAAGCAAACAAACAAAAAGAAGAAAAGAAAAAACAATAAGGAATGAACTTGAATCTAGGGTAGATTTAAGAAGATGAGTTTCTAGCCGAAGGACTTACTGCTGTCTACAGGGGCAAGACGGGGACAGTCCATCCCCTCCTGTGGGTCCAGCACTGCAAGAGCCCCGCAGACCGTCCACCAGGCCGCCTGCTTGGCACCCAGGGCCTTTTGCCCCAGGCCTGTGTCTCCCCTGCCCTCCTCTAACCAGGCGCGGAGCACCCACCATCAGGACCCCCACTCCTCCAAGAGTTTCAGGAAGCTCACACACGTCCAGACAGAACTTCAACAAACAATTCCTCACATTCCTCTCCTCTCTGCTCTCCCCTCCTCCTTCCTTCCTCTTGCTAATTCTCAGCAGCCCCTCCTGGGCCCACGGCTGGCTGGAAGAGGCTGCGTCTTCATTCTCAGACTCGAGCCTTCACCGCTAGCAGTGCTGGCTGGAGAAGCCCTAGTTTAGCTCTTTTAGGAGCTCTGCTCTTGGATTCCCACCCCCCACCCCACCCCCAATTTAGAGCAGAAGTACATAGCAGCTTGTGGCACCAGTTGAAATTGCTGCAGGATGCCTCCCCGAAGACCCTCCCATTCCCTTGGGAGTTGGGGAGGGAAAGGGGGAGAGGGAGGGGGAGACGGAACACTTGCTTCCTTCATCCCGGCTTCCCTTCCCTCTCCCACTCTGAGCCCATTGCCTGGACTCAGGGTGCAGCAGGGGATTCGGGGTCCTGTTGCTGGTGCGGCACCTTCTGCCCAGGCATCAGGTGTTGGTGGGTGTCTCAGTCAGCTCCGGCTGCTGTAACAAAACACCATAGACTTAGACAACAGATACCTATTTCTCATGGTCTGGAGGCTGCGAAGTCCAGGATGAAGGTGCCTGCAGATCCAGTGTCCGGTGAGGGCCCGCTGCCTGGTTTGCAGCGGCTGCCTCCTTGCTGAGTGCGCATGGAGATCTCTCTTGTCTTACAAAGGCGTCGTTCCACCAGGAGGTCCCACCCTCATGACCTCATCTAAACCTAATTACCTCCCAGGGGCCCCACCTCCTAATACCATTACAGTGGTGGTTAAGTCTTGAACATAGGAATTTGGGGGATACAAACATTCAGTTCATAGCAGTGGGATGTCCCCCCAGTGTCCCCTGGCCACTGCATTGCTGGAATTGGGTCCTTAGAACACGGAGGAAGCATCAGGACACAGTGTGACAGAATGGGCGGCCCTAGCTCTCCGGCCTTTTACAAACCAGGAGGGTGGGTGTGGGGTGTGCTCTTCCGAGCAGTGGCCACTGGCCTGAAAATGGGGGCCTCACTTCACTGCCCAGCTTAACCATTTCCTCTCTGTGAGACCCTTGGGGAGGGTTCCTTCACCTCCCAGTTTTGCACATTTATTAAATGATTACTGTGACTCTTCCCAATGCTACGGTTTCTAGGCTTTGTGATCCAGAAGCCTCAGAGCCCTCGCCCAGCTGCAAATAAGGGCAGGTGGGCAGAGCAGAGGGGGGGCAGCAGTCTGGAGGGTCGCACCTCCCTGGTGACTCCCTCTGACCTGGCAAACCCCAGGGCTCCATCAGGCTTCGAACCCTGTCCCTCCCATCCAGAGGGTCAGCAAGGAAGTTTGTGGGGGCCAGCTGCGGGTGGGGTGGAGGAATGAGAACGCACGACCTCACCCCATCGAGAGGTGTACCTCTTAGTTCTGGCTCCTCCGCTCATGATCGGACTGCATTCCTGAAAACATACTTGAATGTTGGCCATCCTCACTGGCCCTTGGAAGGGCTCCCCAACTTCACTCTCCAGCTGCCAAAACAGCCCTTTTGAGTCAGTGCATTCTGATTTTTATTCCCCATTTCCAGGTAGGCAGGTGGCCAGTTATCAGAGCTTTGGAATGTGTGTGGGCTTGGCTGGGCCCACTCCCCTATTCCTGCTCTTCCCCTGGGGTGGGGTCCGTGGGGTGCCCCTGAGTGGGGAAGGACCCCAGGAGAGGGTGTGCACTGGTCCCTTCCCGCTGACCTTCCTGTTGTGTGTCCTCCACAGCCTGTGATTGCCACCCCGTGGGCGCTGCTGGCAAAACCTGCAACCAGACCACTGGTCAGTGTCCCTGCAAGGATGGCGTGACCGGCATCACCTGCAACCGCTGCGCCAAAGGCTACCAGCAGAGCCGCTCTCCCATCGCCCCCTGCATAAGTACGTGCTGGGTACCCTGCTCCTCAAGGCTCTGGCTGGGGTGCGGGGCGGAGGGCCCTTTCCGGAGGTTGGTCCTGACATCCAGTGAGTGCAGCCTCAAGGATGTGCATCTCTGTGCTTGGTGGGACCCCGTGTGGGACCCCCAAGCCCCTAGCGCTCTTGCAGAAGCAGCTAGAGCTCAGCAGAGCCAGCCTGTCTGTGACTGTCCTGACAAACAGTGAGTCAGGGTGGAGACGAGCCTCCCTCCTAAGCCCAGGTTCTGTTTCCATGTGCAACCTTGACCTTGGACCTGGGGTGGGCCTGTTCCTGGGGCCACCATTGCTGCTGTGGGAATTCCATCACCCCTTTCCCCTGGCAGATTCTGAGCAGAAAGGACTGACCTCACAGGGCCTTGGAGGGACGCTGGGCAGGGCTCCTGTGGCCCTTGTGAAGGATGGGAGCACCCCCGAGGGTCCTGGAGGCCCCATCCGGCCAGCCATTACCCCTTAGGTGCTGGAACTTGGAGACAGGGTGAGCAAGGTGGCAGGGGCTGCTCAGGGGCCTTGGCTCAGCTGGTCTTAATATTTTACAACTGGTAGAATTGCACAGGTGTCATTAGCAGAGAACTAGCCCTGGTGGAAGTCAAGCCTGGTTGAGTGCAGGACGGGCCTAAACCCAGAAAGGAGGGCAGAGGAAGGACCGGAGCCCAGCCTGCCTGGGAGGTTGGTCTAGCACCTGGTTTTATAGGCTTAAAGTTGTGGGTGTGTGTGTTCACCTTTTAAAAATGATTGAAACAGAAACCAAAAGAATACTGTTTTAGGATGTGTGAAAATGATATGAAAGTTTGGTATCTGTGAGTAAAGTTTTATGGGGACTCAGCCGTGCCCGCTGTTCATAAGCACCTGTGGCGGTCTTTGAACCATGTGCACAGAATAGAGCAGTTACAACAGGGACTGTGTAACTGGGCAGCTGAAATACCCTCTAGCTGGCCCTCTACAGGAAATGTTGGCCCTCCTGCTTTAGGGTTTCAGCGGCCCTTAGGTCTGGAGGGCACTGGCTTTTCTCGTCTGTCACAAGGTACTTGGAACAAGAGACTGGGGTTCCTCACCCCAGCAGTCCCCGTGGATCTTGCAGGGAACCCCTTCACACACACATCCCACCCTATCTGCCTGACCTGCCTCCTCCCCGCTCCCATCCGTCCTCAACAATGAGGAGTGTCAGCGTCCTGCGGGGTGGAGGGCCAGCTGCCACAGAACAGGCATGTGCCTGGGCGCCCGCGCCTGCTTGGTCCGCTCCCCGACCATCCTTTCTTGGAGCTGAGGCGTGGTGGCGGTGGGGGTGCTGGGAGGCCGGGAGGGGTCTGTGCTGTGCTTTTTTCTCTAAGGTCAAAAATAACATCATCTCACCTGCTTTCTCTTCCTCCCGTCCTGAACCACGCAGAGATCCCTGTGGCACCACCAACCACCGCAGCCAGCAGCGTGGAGGAGCCGGAAGGTAGGCCTTCCCCTTCCTGCTCATTTCTTGCTTTGGTTGTGGGGCAGGGTGGGAAGGGGAGGGGGGTTAGAGGGGCCAGAACCCTCCAAACCACCATCAGGACACTACTTGGCGTGAGTGGTACTCCTGGGCGTGAGTGGTACCCCTGGGCGTGAGTGGTACCCCTGGGCGTGAATGGTACCCTGGGCTGGACTGAGGAAGATGGAGCCACAGGGCATTTTTCTGTGAGGCC